AGATTTCGTGGCAGGCACAGCACTTTCTGCACCTCCATGTGCAGATTTCGTGGCAGGCGGAATACAAAATGCGTTGTGGAGAGATAGCGAACGCACGAAATGCTGTATTTTTCTATGGAACCGATGGCTCCGAAGCTGGCAAGTCAAGGTTTGCGGAACGACGGGTGCGAGACGGTCTCGGGTCATGCTCGGATCATGCTCGGGCATGGTCGGAATCGTCCGTCCATTGGGATTAGAAAAGTTTTCACTTGTTTCTTGAATTGCAGATTTCGTGGCAGGTGCAGCACTTCGTGAACCTCCATGTGCAGATTTCGTGGCAGGTGCAGCACTTTGTGAACCTCCATGTGCAGATTTCGTTCCAGGCACAGGACTTTGCGAACCTCCATGTGCAGATGTCGTGGCAGGTGCAGCACTTTGTGAACCTCCATGTGCAGATTTCGTGGCAGGATGTGGCAGGCACAGCACTTTGTGCACCTCCATGTGCAGATTTCGTGGCAGGCGCAGGAGAGAGAGCGAACGCACGAAATGCTGTATTTTTCAATGGACCCGATGGCTCCGACGGGTGCGAGACGGTCTCGGGTCATGCTCGGATCATGCTCGGGCATGGTCGGAATCGTCCGTCCATTGGGATTAGAGTTTTCACTTGTTTCTTGAAGTGCAGATTTGGTGGCAGGTGCAGCACTTTGTGAACCTCCATGTGCAGATTTCGTGGCAGGCACAGCACTTTGTGAACCTCCATGTGCAGATTTCGTGGCAGGCGCAGCACTTTGTGAACCTCCATGTGCAGATTTCTTGGCAGGTGCAGCACTTCGTGAACCTCCAGGTGCAGATTTCTTGGCAGGCACAGCACTTTGTGAACGTCCATGTGCAGATTTCGTGGCAGGCACAGCACTTTGTGAGCCTCCATGTGCAGATTTCGTGGCAGGCGCAGCACTTTGTGAACCTCCATGTATAGAGTTCGTGGCAGGCGCAGCACTTTGTGGTACAACTTTAGTACGCGGAGTATCTGGCGAGCTGGACGATGAGAACTGGCGACTTTGTAGTACAACTTTAGTACGCGGAGTATCTGTGGAGCTGGAAGCTGAGAACTGG